CAGTATCATGGCCAAAGACGTGGTGTGTGATGTCACTTTCCGTATGCTGCCGCCTGAGAGAGTGGGACTCAGGGTCAAAGGAACTGAGGACGGAGGGGCAGCCTGACTGTATCTTCCTTTAAGCTTGATGGGGTTGCCTCTGATCCCTCCATCTCTTTGCAGGTGTGAGTGAAGCTTGCTCTCTGGGTCACTGCAACAGAGTTCAGAGCCGAGATAGGGCCAAAATTAGACAGGGCAGGCCAGGCATAAGGCGGCAACAAGAAGGAGGGCCAGGGGTGGGGTTAGAGGCGGGGCTGGAACTCAGGTGGGGCCGGCCCGGCCAACATGGCTCTGGAAGGCTTCTTGTGTCATTGTGCCACTACATAGCCCATCATGGGGCCCAGGTGGTTGATTTCTGCACCACGGAGCATGCGTGGAATGTGTGACAGTCGCTGCCCAGGCAGACCTTTGCAGAAGCCATTCACATTCTATAAATGGCAACTAGCACAGCCACAAGGACATGAATATTGATATGCTAGGCTAAGGTTCTGCCCTCCCCCCTCTTCTTTTAGCCAATCTAAACAATAGCCACAGACTGCTTCTTTTTGATTAGAGTGAACCATCTTCAGATATGGATCTTCTATCTCTCTAACATCCTGTTTGGGGGGGGGGGAGTCTTCTGGGGCGGGGGAAGAGGGGGAGATTGCTGAAGAGAGGAAAATTTCTATCCCTACAAAATGGTTTTCGTAAAGGCATTAACTCTGGTTATGCTATTCCCCACTTTAGAATGATCAGTGGCTCTCAGGGAAAAACTTCAAACTTGTTTACAGGCCCAACAGACTCTTAATTATCCCAACCAACCTACCTTTCCTCCTCTTACTGTCTGCCACATGCCAGGGCCACCTGGCTGCCTCCTTATCCCACACAGCCACGCTCTTACTGCGTCTGCTCCGCACACTCGTTCCCAATGCCTCCAGTGCCCTCCCCGCTCCTCTTCGCCTATGGGAGAGTCTAGACCTGATAAGTGATGCCTTCCCAGGCAACCCCAGGCAAGGGGTGAACCTGGCCTTTGTGCTCGCAGAGAGGCTGGTGCACCACTTCATCTATTGCGGCGTTTGTCACGTGGTCCTGGGGACTGTTGCTCCATCAGTCTTTCTCCTCATGAATTTAATTTTTGAAGGAGGCGGCACCGTCTTGATCATCTTTGTTAAATTCTGAAATTGTTTTTCTTCTTTTTCCCTCTCCCAACGATCACAGAATAACTAGGCCATAGTTGGAATCGACAGGGCATCTTACTTAATGCCAGTGCCATCTCTGTCCTATCTTTCAGGACTCTACACAGGGGCCAAGAGAAGGCGAAAGTAGGCATTAGTTATTGATTGGAATTTTACCTTCTCAAGTTTCCTACCTGCAAGGAATTGTCTTTCTTTTCATGTGAATCTGGAGTAAAGGGTTACTTTAGACCCCTCCTCCCCAATAGTCCCCTTCAGGTAAATTTAAGGGTTTTCCCTAAGCAACTTCACATCTGGCATCACCACGGTGATTCTGGAGAATACAGATTTTTATTCTGCCAGGATGGAGAGTTAAGAAGGTGAGAGGTTTCAGGGCACCTGGGTGGCTCAGTTGGTTAAGTGTCCTACTTCACCTCAGGTCATGATCTCATGGTCCCTGAGTTTTAGGCCCTGTGTAGGGCTCTGGGCTGACAGCTCAGAGCCTGGGGCTGTTTGGATTCTGTGACTCCCTCTCTCTCTGCCCCTTTCCCACTCACTCTGTTTCTCCAAAAATAAATAAACGTTAAAAAAAAATTTTTTTTTAAAGGTGAGAGATTTATTGGGGTGCGTGGGTGGCTCAGTCAGTTAAGCGGCCAACTTCAGCTCAGGTCATGATCTCACCGTTTGTGGGTTCGAGCCCCGCATTGGGCACTGTGCTGACAGCTCAGAGCCTGGAGTCTGCTTTGAATTCTGTGACTCCCTCTCTCTCTGTCCCTCCCCTGGTCATACTCTATCTCTCAAAAAATAAATAAATGTTAAAAAATTAAAAAAAGAAAACAAAACAAAAAAGGTGAGAGATTTACTTAAAAATAAGGATGTAAGAAGAGAAGGAAATTAGCAATGTTTGCACAAAGGATACAGGGATTCTCCCTTTCCATTTAAGTAGCCATTGAATACCAAACAGGCAGTGTATTTGGCCAAGTCTCTGAGTGACTCCCCCCTCCCCCAGACAAAAAGACTTATAATTAAGAGGCGTGCACTTGATGTGATGAGCACCGGGTGTTGTATGGTGTATGTTGTACACCAGAAACCACTATTACACTGTATGTTAACTAATTGGAATTTAAACAAAAACTTAGATGAAGGCTTAAAACCCACAAAAAGAAGGTGAGCTCACACTGGTATTGGTCGCATTTGAGAACTGCAGCCTGATTATTTACATGGTGTAGCAAACAGCCTAAGAGGCAGATGCTATCCTGCAAGTGTACCCAGGTCACAAGTAATTGGTGTTGGAAGTTTGTAGGTTATAGGTTTTTAAGAACACCTAGTCACTGAGATGTCACCAGACCCTGTTTATTTATATGTCTTTGGGAGGTCTTGTCTGGGGAGAGGTGGAATATGATATCATGCAAAAAGTTCAAGTTCTGCATGCCCTTAATTCTAAACTTATTTCCTAATCAATTCATTGAAAGGGAGGTATTTTGGCCAATGTTTTTCAGTCCTGTGTACTTTTCTGTTTGCATGGTAATCTCACCCAGAGAAAAGTACAGAGAAGGTGTGAAACACTCATGGATCCCTAAACTTTCGAAATCCTTGCCGTTCTAGACTTCCCAACAGGGCTGGGGCAAAGGCGAGGCAAATGGAGCACTCATCTCAGGTACAGAAGTTCGAGGGTGCCAATAAACTCAGTAACATAAATGATATTTTAATGCGATATTAAATTTATTTACAAGTTGGATGTTACGCTCATCCATTTTTACATTAATTTCGGTTTGTAAGAATGTGCACTAAAATATTACTCCTCTTGACTACTGATTACTGGGCCGATTATTATTCCTGGTACCTCTCAAATTTTGCCTGTCAAGTAATCTCATGTCCAGTTTTGGTTCTGTCTCCCAAATGCGTTGACTGAAGACGGGAGCCCTGTTGGCCATTGCCTTCCATCACATGCCCCCCCTGAGGGGGGAAACAAGTTTAGTAAGTATAAAATGGTGGAAGGAAGGAGCAAGGAGGAAAAAGTTCTGATGGTCAAAGCCATATAAAAGTTAAACAGCCGAGAGACATCTCACTCGGCCGTTGTCCAACTGACAGATTTGAAAATACACCTCCAGCTGGTGGGAGTGGCCATGTTAAGGCATAACTTTCATATCCTGACTTTTTACAAGCGCACGATCTCAATTGTCCCTAAGACTGCATCTTAGCACTCTCCACCTGGCTGCCCCTTTCAACAGGGCGTGCTGGGAGAAATTGTGAGACCAGCGAGAGCCGCGATTTCGGGCCTCAGGAGATCGCCTTGGGGCTTTCTGATCATTTTCGCGTCCGCGTTGCTGCCCTTGGCATCCAGCTGTTTCAGGGGACTGCCTCCTTCCTCACCTTTAATCCTTTTTAAGCCTTTAAGCTACAGGCCATGATAACCTTTTTCTACTGAGAAAATGTAATCGAGAGGTGATTTTAAATTTTGGTCTACACGAACTTAACCCTCCAGATAGAACTCAGTGTATCGCGATGCCCCCAGGGTCCCTGACTTGGATCGGGCACAGCGGGGAGCGCCGAGGTTCTCGTTTTCCGTCTGCACGACCTCTGGCTCGCAGGTTGCGAAGATGACCTCTTCCCGGCCCAGTCCCCGGGCTGTGGCTGCCAGGGCCGCGCCCGGGGCCTCCGCACTCTCGCCCCGCCCTCCCAGGTTCGCGTCCCCCGGCGCGGGGCCGTCCCTCGCCGGGACGCCTACCCCGTCCCCGGCTCCCCGCGGAGGAAATTCTTCCCGAGCAGCCCGAGGCTCGCCTCACGTGACCAGCCGCCGCCGCGGCTTCCAGCGAGAGTTTAAAGGTTACGGAGGAAATTAGCGCGGACACTGTCACTCGCCCCCCGGAGGGCGCGCGCCGTTTCCCCGCAGCTCGACGGCTGCCGTCAGCGCGCTGATCACAGCCGTGTCTCCCCAAAAGGGCATAGACAAGGTCCAGAGTAAATACGAAGTCACTTTGTAAAACATAAACAAACAAAAAGAGCTGGGGTTCGGCCGAGCTTTCCGTTGTCCACTGTTTTCCTCGCAGTCCGAAAAGTCCAGGACAGATCCCGAAGGGGGAGAACGCCCCCGAAGCAAGGGGAGAGAGAAGGCTCGTTTGAAAGCTCACACCGAGCCTTGCACGCCCCTCCCTTTCTCCCCTCCCCCACCGCGCTGGAGCAGAGTCTCCGGACAGAATGACAGACAGACGGGCCAATGCTCCGCCGGCTGCTCTCGCCCGCCTCGGCCCGAGTGGGGTGGGCCTGGGGGAGGGTCCCGAGTCTCCTCCCGCTGTGCGACCCCCGCCACTCCCCCACCGCCGCCTCTACGAGGCCGGGTGGGCCGGGGAGCCCCGGGGAAACGCGCGGTCCGCTGATCTCCCGGCGGAGATCAGAGACGAGGTGTCCATAGGCCGAGGCGCTGGCACTGCCGCCCGCAACGCCGCCGCTCCCCGGGGTCCCGCGCGGGTCCCCTGCTCGGCTCCCCCGCCCGCCGCCGAGACCCGGCAGGCTCGCCCTCTCTGCGTCGTCCTTTCCTCGGCTCACTTTTCCCGTATTGCTCCCCCAACAGGCAAAACTTTCTATTTCCCCAAACACAGGAGCGCGCGCGCGCGCGCGTGCACACACACACACACACACACACACACACACACTCACACTCACACACTGACGTCTTTTGCGCATTTCCTGCATTAGAGGGAGGGAGACTCGCTCGCACACCGACGGAGGGAGAAGAGATCAAGGGAGAGAGCGGGCGGGCGGGCGGCGAGCGAGCGGCAGCCGAGAGCGGGGACGCGGGGAGCGCGGCCGGCGGGCGCCGGCGCCCGGGAGGTGGGGCCGCGCCGAGTCGCAGTCCCGGCCCGGCAGCCGCCGCGCTGCGCACCGCCGGGTGCCGGCCTGCGCCCCGAGCTCGAGCGGCGGCCACTCCGACTCCCGAGCCCGCGCGGATGTGAGATTCCGGGCGCCTGGCGCCTCCTGATCGCCGACTGCTGCGCCGCGCGGCTTCGCCCAAGAGGAGGCGGCCAGGCTGGCCGCGCGGCTTGTGGATTTTTAAAAATTTGGCTCCGAGGAGGACCATTTCCTCTCGACATGCATCCCTCCGGATAGACTGAACATCCCTCGATCCATCCCCCGCCCCGCGCGGTCAGAGGCAGGCGCTGGGTGTGCGAAGAGGATCCGGGTTGAAATCTGCGCCCCCGGTTCTTGTCCCCGCCCCGTCCCACCTCCCCCTCCCCCTCCGGGAGTCGAAATTTCCCGGGGATTATGTTTCGGAAAGGTAGGTAAGCGCCGGGCGCGGCGCCCGCGTCCCCGCAGCCCGGACCCGGAGAGCCAGCGAGGCGGCGACACAGCCCCCGCGCCTTGCAGGAAAGCCGGCAGCTCGTCTCCTCTTCTGGGGGTGCCGCTGGTGGTAGGGGGGGAGAGACTTGCTCCAAACGCGACGTCCCCCAGCTCTCCCCCCCTCCCTGTTTTCCGTTAGGAACCGGGCGAGGAAATACATGCACTCGCTGAGAATCGCCCGCGCTAGGGCGCAACGCTACAAGGTGTAGGGAGAGTGTGGGGCGCGGTGCGAGGGGACCCCGGAGTCCCCGTGGCTCAGAGCGCCGGGGCGTCGGTTCTTCATTCCTGCCCTCGGGGCGGACGGAGTGACCCCGGCCCCCACTCCCCGCCCCGACCATGGTAGTGTTCAATGGCCTTCTTAAGATCAAAATCTGCGAGGCCGTGAGCTTGAAGCCTACAGCTTGGTCGCTGCGCCATGCGGTGGGACCCCGGCCGCAGACTTTCCTTCTGGACCCCTACATCGCCCTCAACGTGGACGACTCGCGCATCGGCCAGACGGCCACCAAGCAGAAGACCAACAGCCCGGCCTGGCACGACGAGTTCGTCACCGATGTGTGCAACGGGCGCAAGATCGAGCTGGCCGTCTTCCACGATGCCCCCATCGGCTACGACGACTTCGTGGCCAACTGCACCATCCAGTTTGAGGAGCTGCTGCAGAACGGGAGCCGGCACTTCGAGGACTGGGTGAGTCGGGCGCCTCCGGGTCCGGGAGCCCGGCTGTGGGGTCCCGGGGAAGCACTCGCGGCCTCGGCGTTGGTCGTGGGGCGCCGAGCGAGACTTACTGCCATCTGGGGTGTGTGTGCATGTGTCTCCGTTGCCTTGGGGAAGCATACTCCATTTCGTAAGGTGGGGAGGAGTAGGCGCCGGGGCAGGGAAGAGGAGGCTGGGCAAGAGGGTCAGGCCCTCTGTCCCCTCCAGACAACGGGGGCTACAGGGCGCTCCCAAGCCGGGAGAGCCCCCGGCCGCTGGTGCTGAAGGTTGGCAGCGACGTCGGCGCCTTCCGCGGGCGGGTGGTGGGCTGGCTGTGTGTGATTGTGTGTGGGTGGGTTCCTCCGTCCCCGGAGAGGCACGTGGAGCCCTAGACTGAAGGCTTCTCGCACGTCCTGGCTTTGTCCCGTGTAGCCCGGTGAGGAGCTGCTTCATTTTTCCCTCCGGGAGGAAGCCGGCTTGTTTCTGTTCTGTTGCATGGTGGTTAGCTCATCTTCTGACATACAGGGAGAAAAATGTGTTCTCTAGGCTGCCTCCTCCGGGGTCCCAGCAGCACCAGTCTGGCTTGTTTTGCCCGGTGCATCGCCCATTCATCCAGAGTGAGCGTTGCATTTAAAAAATGATTCTGCTTGTGAGAAATTGGAGGTCAGTGTTTTGAATCCCACTTAAAGTTATATTAGTTCCCTGTTTTGATTTTCAAGGTACTGTGCAGCCGGATACGGTTTGTAAGTCAGACATCGAGTTGATTGATGACATTGTCAAAATATTAGGGACTGGGAAATAGGCCTCCCTTGTCCAGATACTATAAGCCAAATGCACTCAGCCTTTCGCCCCCACCCCCCAAAGAGGGACAACAAACCTTGCTTTCGCCCATTTTTGGAAGGAAGGTATTAAATTAGGAAGTGGATTTCGGTGTTTTCGGAGATACTACATGTTGCCCCTGAGAGCAGGTGTGGCTCTGGGTGCATAGGTTTTTAAGCTTCCTTCATCTACACAAAAAGAGACATCTGGATCCTTGTGGAGAAATAAAGAGGAATCCCTTTCTAATTATCGAAAGCAGGCCACTTCGTGATTTTCCTAGGGCCAGAGGTCGCCTATGGACCACCTTGGCATGTCACCTTCCGTAGTTTGCAAAAGGAGATGGAGTTACAGAGGAAAACAGGAAAAAAGCCTCTTCTCTTTATGCTCTCGCTGTGCTGTAGTCTGCCCGAAACCATGGTTACGAGGCTTACAGGGAAGCTCCAACAAACCAAGTACAACCTGGGAGACTTGCGGCTTACACTTTGGGAGGCAGGCAGACCTTTCTGGAGTCCCAGGGAACACACTGCCCCCCCATTCTGGGCCGTGTCAGCAGTGCCCCTTCTGTCTGCCTCCCACCACCAGGCTTCCCACTCGCTCCCCATTTCCTTTCCGCACGTGGGCTCTTTGACTCAGGAAAAGTAGTGCATGTCTGAGGGCGAGCTGCAGGCATAGCTAATGTCAGGACCAGACCTTCACACCAAGAACGTGTGGTTTCGAAGTTGTCGATTTAGAACAGGAAGGGGATGGGAAAAACATGAGTTTGGCGGGGAGACCGTCCGTGGGGCCTTTGCTGTCTGTGCAGGTGAGGGAGACGGAGAGTGAGATGGAGAGCAGGTGGGACGAACAGCGAGGCCGGGCCGGTCATTCTGGAACACATCTTCATTGGAGGGAGAGATGTCCAAGCGCCTCTGGTGATGCTTTGCCCGGGGCCCGCCCCAGCCCTGGCTTCGTCAAGGCACCGGCCCCACGTTGGAGTATTTGCCGTGAAGCATCCAGCGGCCTCTAGCCTTGCCTGGGTATTATTCTCTAAGGCTCTCAAATTCATGTTGGACTTGGCCCTAGACCAGATCAGCTAGTGCAGAAGCAGGTTTTAGGGACAAGGACGTTTAGTCTCAGAGAAGCCAGGTGGGTACCCAAGGTCACATGACCAGCACAGGAGGGATTGGAAGTAAGGCCCGTGACTCCTGTTGGCCACAGCTTGCCTGGTAGAGAACTTAGGCCCCCCAACGCCCCGGTTCTTCTAGTGTATTCTCCCTTCCGATCCTTGCGCTGGGTCCCTGATGTTTTCATGGTACAAATGTAGAATTAGGTACAGCAGGTATTGGACAAAAAAACAAAACAAAACACTACAACTTGAGTTACAAGAAAGCCAGAAGGAGGCATGAATTGGGCATGAGATGGTGGGTAGCCTTTAAAGAGGTGTTTACAATAGGAGATGGCATTCCATGGGCGCAGACACTGCTGGAAGATAGGCCGAGAACACCTGTGGTCAAGGTTGGGGGGCAGGGAGGCATGGCCCAAACTGAGGGTGCCTGTCAGCAAGGATCAGGCAGCATACAATTTCCCCCACTTAAGACTTTTATCTCAATACCACCTGTGCTATTATTTACTTAAAACCTTTAAACGTTGGTTCCCTCATTTCCCACTTCAGCCCCAGTATTCATGAAATCACAGGTTGGGATATTCGAGTTCCACTTTTTCTTCGTCCACATTAACATAAACACGCGGCTTCTGAGACAACAAGGAGGGAAGTTCACGTCGGTGCCTCTTAACATCGTTAGCCATACGAGGGCCCACGCTTTGGATACACCGGAGTAGGAGAAAGTTTAGAAAACAGGTGGATTCTAGAATGTTTAAAAGCCAGGCTGAGATAATTATTCTCCAGATAATGAGAGATGTATCAGTTGTGATGACAAAGGGCTTGTTTTAGAGAAAGCTCATTACAGAGAGATGGGAAGATCTTGCTTGTACTGAAAGCAGAATCCCATTAAACACTGTTGCTGTCGCTCGTTTTCCAGGAACGAGATATTGATGCCGCTCTGACTTGAGTGTGCGTAAGAATCGCTCGGGGAGGGTGTTAAAAATATAGGTCTGCCTATATCCGCCCCTTCAGAGCTTTTCATTCGGTAGTTTAGGGTAGGCGCTGGGAACCCTCATTGGTAACAAGTGGTCCAAGAGAATTTGACCAGACCAGGCTTTCAGAAACACTGGGGGAGAATAGAAATTGTGAGCCAGGGAGGGAAGGCTCCAGATAATTCGTGTATGGAGACTTTGTACCGAGAAATGTCCTCAAATGTTATAGTAGACCTTTGTGATTCCTCCAGCAAGATTGCTAAGCATAGTGGTGGAAACAGGAAGTATAGGGATTCCTTAGAAGCAGGGGCCCAGAGAACGCAGGATGGAGCTGCTTTGCACTGAGGGCAGATGGTGGGAGCATGGTGGATGGCAGGGAGGGTGGATGGAGCAAACACGTGACAGCTGGCTGCTCCTGCTCGCAGTCTGGAGATTGCTCTGTGGTCCCCTCCCTTAGGGTGTATACTGAGCTCAGCCCTCCCCTTTTCCACCACCCCTACCTCTGAAGACATCTTTGGATGCTGTCACTCCGTGTAGAAGAGGCATTCCTAATACAGCGATAATGACAAACTCTCTGAGAGGTGGTTCAGCCCTGCGCTTAAGGGCAGAGCTCTGGAGGGGGGCTCCGTGGGTTCGAATCCCGCCTCTACCACCAAGAGCTTTTGCAACCTTTAGTAAGCTTTTTAACCCGTGTACCTGTTTCTTCCTCTGTAAGAAGCGGATGATTTAAAAATATCTACTTCTAACAAAGTGCGATTGTTGAGGGGATGAAAGGAGTTAATACATGGAAAGCGCGTAGACCAGTGCCTGCCTCAGCCAGGGCTCAGTGAGCGTTTGGCGACTATGGCTAGTATTATGTACCCCCCAAGCCTAACAGGGGATTGGTCCTAGAGAGGGTTCTTTACAGAGTTGATTATTATCCGGGACCTAAAGAAGCTGGCTTTTCATCATCTCCGACATGTTTCTTTTCAGTTGGATAGCCTCGTTGGCAAGGAAACGGGACACTAGTCATTGGGTTCCATATTTCCCAAGTAGTTCATTGACAGGGATTCTCAAAGTTACTCTGCCCTGCTGACCCTGCGCGATAGGCCCACACTCTTCCTGAAGGGCTAAGGCTCAGGAACTGTTACTCTTGTGTTGACCCCAGAATCCCAGGGGGAGACTCTTACAACCGCAGAGGCCAAGGCCAACCCCTTGTTAGTTCAGATGTGGATGCCCTGAGCAGAGCCCGAGGACCTAGGACTGGCTTGGCAGCTGAGAGGCCCTGTTCAGTCTCACACAGAGGGTGCCTTGAGTAGCCCCTTGATAATACTTTGCCTGAAGGCGGATCTCTACCTTCAGAATTTTTGTAGGGAAATCTTAGACGATTCTTGAAAGCTATTATCATTTAGATAGAGCGAGGTGGGAAGGGCCTAGAAAGGGGTGTGGAAGGACTGGGCGTGGTCAAAGCCCCCTTGCACGCAACCTGCACCTTGAATTTGTCCACCAGCAGCTGAGGTACCTGGATCTCTCCATAGTCCGCTCCCCACTGACTCCTGTAACACTTACCATCTCATTAAATATTGCTCCTCGTGGTACATGATTGGTTATTTAACAGCTGCCCTAAGGGTTAGTTCTTGCCCCGGTGCTATCATGGAAAGCCACCTGGCATTGGGGCCCTGCAGTTAAAGGGCCTTGGGCCTCCTGGGCAGTCAGATTTTGTGTGTCCTGTTTCTCCTCTGTGTTGTCTTTGACCAGCAGCGGATTCAGTGAATATTTGAGCCCCTCAGTTCCCCAACTCTTCAGTGCGCCCCTCTCCCTCAGATCTGTGGGTTCTATCTACAGGTTGCATCTACCAGTCTTTTTAAAAAATATTTATTTATTTATTTTTGAGAGAGAGAGAGAGAGAGAGAGAGTATGTGTGTGTGTGTGTGTGTGTGTGCGCGCGCGCACGCCCCTGCACGAGCTGGGGAGGGGCAGAGAGAGAGAGAGACAGAGATAGAGACAGAGGAAGAGAGGGAGACATAGAATCCGAAGCAGGCTCCAGGCTCTGAACTGTCAGCACAGAGCCCGACTTGGGCTCCAACCCATGAAGCGTGAGATCATGACCTGAGCTGAAGTCG